AGAGAGGGGGACAGAGAGGGGGGGAGAGAGGGGGGGACAGAGAGGGAGACAAAGACGAAGACAGAGAGGGAGACAGGGAGGGAGACAGAGAGGGGGGCAGAGAGGGGGGCAGAGAGGGAGACAGAGAGGGAGAAAGAGAGGGAGACAGAGAGGGGGGCAGAGAGGGGGGCAGAGAGGGGGGCAGAGAGGGGGGCAGAGAGGGGGGCAGAGAGGGAGACAGAGAGGGAGAAAGAGAGGGAGACAGAGAGGGGGGCAGAGAGGGAGACAGAGAGGGAGGCAGGGAGGGAGACAGAGACGGAGACAGAGAGGGAGAGAGAGAGGGAGACAGAGAGGGGGACAGAGAGGGAGAGAGAGAGGGAGACAGAGAGGGAGAGAGAGAGGGAGACAGAGAGGGAGGCAGAGGGGGGGACAGAGAGGGAGACAGGGAGGGAGGTTTCTGATGGTTGTTAGGAGTAAATTTACTCTGGTCCAAATATAATCTGTGTGTGTGTGTGTGTGTGTGTGTGTGTGTGTGTGTGTGTCAGCAGTGACAGCTGCCGTGTGTCTCAGAGCAGGTGGGCCACATTCCACATCCCTCACAGTGGGGGGAGGGGGGGGGGGGGGGGATGAAACTGAAGATAAATGTGGTGTAAACAACAGGCAGCAGCAGGATGTCCACAGGGGGCAGCAGTGAGTCAGAAAAGATGAAATGATTTCCTGTTCTTTTATAAGAAAAAACTCTGTTCAACTGATGTTGAACTGTGAAGGTGACTGAGCCTGGACCTCTCCAGGACCTCTCCAGGACCTCTCCAGGACCTCTCCAGGACCTCTCCAGGACCTCTCCAGGACCTCTCCAGGGGCCTCATGTACTAAACGTGTGTAGATTACATCAAAAAAAGGGCGTACGCAAAAATCCAGAAACTGACGTAGGTTCAGAATCCCAGTACGTTTGTGAATCCCAACGTGGCATTGAGCCAAATGAGGAGTTACGCCCCCTACCTACGTATGCAAATATCTTTGCCATGAATCCATCGACCTGCAGGAGAATTCATCAGGAGGAAGTGAAAAAAGTAGAAGCTGAACTGTAGATCCTAGTCAGAGGAGGAGGAGGAGGAGGAGGAGGAGTCAGACCGACCCCCCCCCCTCACCCCCCGGCCCAGAAACACATTTGGTTTGAATTACTGCGTCTACTAAAAATAACGGAGAAGCCCAGAGTTGACGCAGACCAGCTACAGGGGGCGGAGTCAGAAGAGGTAAAGCTGATGGTCATTGGACGAAGGTCACGTCTTCATCTCAGCGACATAACGACAGACCAGAGAGAACAGCAGTAATTCCCTGGAGTTGTCGGTTCACCGCTGCCTCAAACGGACTCAAACAAACAAACTGACCACAGGGGGCAGCAGAGTGTCTGTGAGCTGAATGGTTCTGAACCAAACAGAGAAAAATACACTGATTTCTTTTGTTTTGCAGCTTTGGAGAAGGTTCCACAGCTCCGCCCAGGAAGCTCCGCCCACAGCGCTCACTGAGTGAAGAGTAAACTCACCATGTTTGTCTTTGTCTTCGCTGTTTCCTGCGACGTGTTGAAGAGTCAGCTGATCACGACTCGGAGGCCTTCACTGGAATACACTGCACTTTTTCTTCTTCTGCTCTCTCTCTCTCTCTCTCTCTCTCTCTCTCTCGTCAGTCTTTCCAGTCTCCTGTCTCTATCTCCTCCCCTCCCCTCCCTCTCCCCCCCAGCTCGACTCTCTGAGCGTTTTCTCCTGACTCCAGTGACCCGCCTCTGCTGCCACATTTAGACACACACACACACAGCTATGACACTTGAGGAGGTGGAGCCTCTGACCCCTCCCCCGTTTCAGTCCTGTCCTTCCTATGGTATATGAGCATGTGCTATTTGTGAGAGAGAGAGAGAGAGAGAGAGAGAGAGAGAGAGAGAGAGCGACCCAGGGTCATTAGGTCAAGTTCATCACAAGCAGAACACCAACAGTTACAGTCCAGCTGGTGGCGCTCTCATGGGTCAAATAAGTGTCTCAGTCACAACTGGTCCAGACAACGACTGGTCCAAACAACGACTGGTCCAGACAAGGACTGGTCCAGACAAGGACTGGTCCAGACAAGGACTGGTCCAGACAAAGACTGGTCCAGACAAAGACTGGTCCAGACAAGGACTGGTTTGTCTTCTGCTGCAGCTCCAGTCAAACTGAAACATTTCTGTTCACGTGGGAGAGAAGAGAGAATAAAGGAGGTTTGTTTTTCATGTCAAAGGACTGAAGAGCTGAACCACATGATGAAATCCATGAAACTTGAGGTCACACTCAGTGGTCAATTTAAAGTTAGAGATGAACCTAAACTGACCATGTGGGGCAGCAGCAGCAGCAGCAACAACAACAACAACAACAACAACCACCACAACAACAACAACAACCTCTAATCATACTACGAACATTTTCTCCATGGACTTTGGTCTGGACTAAGATCTCTGATGGAAAGATCTTAAATTCTGGACGGCAGAAACTAAATATAGAAAAAACACGGTCCTGGTAAAGTAAGTGTGTGTGTGTGTGTGTGTGTGTGTGTGTGTTCGACTGCATTAACAGGAAGTTCAAGTTAAATTAGACGAAGCTTTTACAGATCAACAGGCGTGGCATATGAATGATGTCCCACCAAGGACAATGTAGAGACAACGTCTGTGGACCAGTGAAGGACAAGCAGCAGACATTGAGTCCCACGTCTTGATAGAGTGGGAGGAGCCTCAAGGAGGAGTCTGATTGGTCTATGTGTTTCCGTACTGAGGGTGACGAGCGGCACGTGGAGAAAAGATGAAGTCTTGTGTGTGTGTGTGG